CTCGGCACCCGGTCAGCTGCCGCAGGTGCACCTGCCTCCCCGCGGCCCCTCAGCCTCCCGGCCCCTCAGCCCCCTACATCCACACCTTTGTCCATCTCCTCAGGTCTTCCAGACCATCCCCGCATCAAACACCTCTGGTTCTCCAGGGAGCCCCTTGTTTCCCCCAGCCAGTCCTTCGGCCCCTCCCGTCCCAGACTCCATCTCTCGCTGCTGCCGTCGGTCTTCCAGCCAGCCCCTCTGTCTCTCAACCCGCAGACCTGTCACTTTTCCAGATGCTCTAGCCCGTCGTCCTGCACCTACATCTTCCTGTTCGCTACCCCACCCGTGTTCCTAACCTCTTCCTTGTCTGTCAACTTGTCCTTCCCTATTCTTCACTTCATAAACCCCCAGTTTGCCCTCCAGACTGCCTGGGACCCTTCTTTATTCCTAGATCCATCTCTCCACGATTGCCCTAAGAGTCGCCTTGTTCCTACCTATGGCTCTTTAGTCCCGTAGTCCAGGCCCCTTATTCCTCCCTTTTCTCATTTTGGATGTTCAGATCCTTTAAAACTCTTGATTCCTAGGCTAACAAAATATTTCCAGGTTCCTGGATTTACCCATATGTTGCCTTCCCTTGACAGCCTGGCATGTCTTTTCCTTATGTTCATTTTACACCAGTTTGCTTGCCCAGAAAAGCTTATTCAGAGAGTCTGTCTTGATCTTAAGATTTGCTTTTAATCCTATTTCTGCCTCATCCATTGATAGATTTGTATGAACCCTCAGAGCAGCAGCATCGCCCCCACACTGTGAATAAGAGTCGGAAGCAATCCCAGCGAGAAAAAGCTCTCCAGCAGCAATGTCAGAAGCTGGGACTGCAGGGTGGAGCAGCCTCTGTTCCTCCTGAGCAGTTACTTTCTGTACCAAAGCACAAGCTTTGTCATCCTCAGCGGCCTGTGCCACCAGCTCATCCTCCTTCAGCAGGAGATAAAATACAAAATGGCAACCGAGACCAGGAGAAGGAAGTGACACCACTAGATCCCTGTAATGGCAGTGACAGTGCCCAGACCTGCCCTGCAAAGCCCAAATCCAAAGTGGAAAAAAAGAAAGTGGAATTGTTAGTAAGTTGGTAAAATCAGGGGACGGGTTTTGTTGTTCTATATTCATTCATTCTTTTGTTGTGAATTAAAGTGAATTTTTCTGTATCTAATAGGAAGGTTTGAGGGATCACATTTGCTGTCTCTGCACTGAACCTTTGGTTTTCATATCTAGTTGTGTTAAACCTGATTCAGGACCTGATTTTGTAGTGTAATCCATGCAGATACACACCATGCTGTCTTCTGGTAATTTCCTACGTCTGTAGGACTGTATATCATAAAGTGCCCAAGATGTAGGACTGTCTTATGTGCTCACCATCATGCTGTGTATGCAAGCCAGCAGCAACAACAAAAAGCCCTTTTGGGAGTACATATGCTGTGATTTGTGTAACTTTGTATTCCGTTTACAATATTGCTGCAGATTTCTTAATGCCAAAAGTGTTGATAAGGAGGTAAAATTTCAGATTTAAGCAGTTCTCTAGCTTTTAAGATTTAAGATGAGACCAATTTCATGGCTCTCACCCTGTGCATCAGCCAGCAGTGGGGTGCCTGTCTCCCACAGAAGCATCAAACTGCTACATGTAAGAGAGAGATAAAGGAAAAAGTACTGAACATGGCTCTCTGAGAGTCTGATTGAATGTGGCAATTACACTAGTTCATCACCCAGAATTCAGATGGTAGCCTAAGTGCTGGAGAGGGCAGTCACTTCCAGTGTGAGAAATTATTTGGTTTTGCGTTGTCTGTCTGTTACTTGGTTTACGTCTGTTTGTTTTCCTGTATGTATCCATGTGCCAATTTTATTTTCTTCCTCAGCAGGCAAAGCAAGGTGTGAGGAGAAAAAGGGTTAATTCTTTTTCTAGGGCATATAGTTTATTTTTAAAACAGTACTGCTGCAGCCTTGAGTTCCTATGCAAGCCCAAGCTTTTCTGCCTAATATAATCAACAAACACTAGCTGTCCTCTAAACTTCCTTGCATCATTTGTATTCCTCCAAAACAGGGATCAGCAGCTTTCCAGGTGTGGTGTGCCAGACCTGATGCCTGGTTAGATCTGTCTGTAGGATTTCGGAGGCGACTGAAGATGCTTCCTGCTGGAGAGGCAGGACTGTGGCAGTCAGCAGCACTTGTGTGGAGAAGCAGTGCATAGCTTCTCTCAAATTCAAAACTCAAAAGGATCCAGGAGGTTCTGTTTTGCAGAGGTGTACCTTGAGAGGCTGCAGCTGCTGGCCATGCTGCTGCCATTTACCTGCCCAACTCCTGGCTGGAATCACCTTACTTGCAGATAGCTATCCCTTCAACAGAAGAGCAGCACTTTGAAAAGCAGTGCCAGATTCCTCATGTGGGTGCAGCTGGCCAGTAGTACTGACTGCTAAGCTCCTTCCTGGTAGTGGAAAAAATAGACACTGACTGAGAAAAAGATCGCTAAAGCTTTGCAGAGATGTTTTTCCCTCTGTGGGGAGCAAATGACACTTAGTTACAACAATCACCCCCTGAATCTGCTGAATTAATTTTAGCCTCTGGACTTGAATTTAATCTTACTGAAAATATTTCTCTGTATGAAATTGTAGGAATAGAGTGTTGAGGAGAACTCTGAAGAGATACTCTTGTGCAGATATGGTTAAGAGTAACATAGCTGAGTTACTTGGGTGTTTTTAAGCTAAGCTATTTTTAAACTGAGACTTCTTGAAAGAGGACATGAAGAATACAACAGGATAGAAAAGCAGCAAAGCAGGTTTTGTGTCTCCTTAATCCTGTCCAGCTGTGTTGATGTGTGTTGTGTCCTCTTGCCTTCCATCCTCTGGGACTAGTTGTGTCTCTTAGTGGATGTAGCCTAGGAAATGGAATTCATATAACTC